TCAACTCCCAGAATTCCCCAGCCAGCTTTTTCAAACTTTAGGAAAGGTGAAATGGATCCCGTCCTTCTTATCAAAGGATCGTTAGAAAATTCTTTATGAGAGGATAAAACAAATTTGTAATTAGAAGATAAAAACCGATTCGACAATTGTCATTGGCCGACTTTTGAGTAGTTTTGGGTGGGTTAATACAGGCTGTCCTTGACTTACGACCACAATTGAGAGGAAAAAATTCCTGTTGCTAAGCGAGACAAGTTGTTTTGAGGCGAGCTTCACTTACATTGCTATCCAAGGTATCCCAGGAAGTCCTCGACTTACAAACCACAATGGACAAGCCCCAAATATATCTGGCTTAAAGGAGAACGTTGTGAAGGGAGTTTTGCTCCATTTTACAACTTTGTTGTAAAATTTTACATTTTACAACACTGTTGTTCAGTGAATTGCTGCAAGTCGTTAAGTCAGTCACATGGTTTGTTCCATGAATCTGGCTTCCCCATGCACTGGGCTTGGACGAAACTTGCAAAAGGGGATCGATCATGTGAGCCCCTTCCACCACCACCACCCCCGGGATGTTGCGACCGTCATAAATACGAGTCAAGCTGCCAAGCATCCGAATTTTGATCCCGTGTCCATGAAGATGCTACGAGGGTCTTTAAAGTGTGAAGAATCACCGCCGTAAGTCACTTTTTACAGGGCCATTGTAACTTCAAATGGTCACCGAGCGAAGTGTTGTAAGTCGAGGATTAGCTGTAAAGAGGGGAAAAAAAACCTAGGAGATTGGTAGAATATTGCTGGTCGTTGCTTTTTTTAAATCCGTTTTTTCTTTCCTTTTCCTGTCTGCCAGACATAGAACAGACTTTGGGGCGATTTTGCAAAACTGAAAAGGAGCCAATAGAAAACCAGAAAAAAAGAGAGAAGTAGCTTTGAAAAACGGGGCCCAATCCACTTCCTCATTTTCGCTTCCCAAAATTGCTATGAACAGAATTGGACAAGCTTAATATTTAACAATAATGATGATGCGATATGAAACTAAACAAATAAAACGAACAGGTAACTATGGTCATGTTTGTATTGAGATGTGAAACCTGGAACCATACTGCTTGCCAAATGAGGTTTTTTTTATTTAAAATAAAATAAAATGAAAACAGGGAGAAAATTGAATAATGGAATCACTAGGTATGTTTAACTGATACGATGGTAGGCATTTGGAAAGAGTTTTGAAAGGTTGAAAATAAGCATTGAAGGATTATGAATTATATGTGAATATATGCATTGAGAGATATGATTGGTATTATTAATTTTGCCTATACTAAAATGTATGATTATTGATGCCACACTGTTGATATATAAGATAAGATAAATTTATTGTCATTGTACTCAGAAACCCGAGAACAACTAAATAAGGTGCTCTTTCACAACATACAACTGAACAACACCAAAAGACATATACAAATAACAATATAAAACAAATTAAAACAAATAACAATTAAAAACTCTACAACCAGGACATATATATGTTAAGACCACCAGATTCATAACTCTGCATTTAACCTGATCATAGCACTTGGGTAAAAGCTATGTTTAAATCTACTTGTCCTGGCTTTCAGCACTCTATATCGTCTTCCTGATGGTAGGATCTCAAATGCAGATTGAAATAAAAACATTGAAAAAAAAAAAGCAAAAACTAAATTGCTACGAACAATTTCACGGTTACCAGCAAACTTTATAAATTGAAGACCAATTCCCCCCCGCCTTTTTTTAAAAAGGCGCCAAGCCCGTTAGAAAGTCGGGAGGTTAAAAATACTTCCTTAACGATACACTTAGTCCTCGACTTACATTTCACTTAGTGACCGTTCGAAGTCACAACTTATGACCAACGCAGCTCCACCGCAATCTCGTGACTTACATTCATACTCTTAGCAACTGACTCATATTTATGACAGTCGCAGTGTCCCGGGGTCGCGCGATTCCCTCCCTTTTTGCGGCCTTCAGACAAGCAAAGTTCCAAAGGGGGGGGAACCAGACTCACTTAAGGACCATGTGACTAATTTCAACGACTGCAGTGATTCACTTAACAAAGGGGGCAAGGAAAGTCATAAAACGGGACCAAACTCATGAAGTTCTAATTTAGCAAGATAAATCATTCTGGTCGTAAGTTGAGGACTAGCTGGAATACACTGGACAGCATGATCAATGTTTACTGGACACCTGGAGGCTAATATCGTCCATCAACCGGAGAGGTTTTAATCTGGATCGGTATGCAGAGAGGGATGGGGTGGATTGGATGACCTCGCCGCATCCCTTTCAGGATTCTACAACTCTATGGCACTTTTGGAAAAGGAGGGGCTGGATCTATCTCCCCCTTTTCACCTCACCCCCCTGGAGAGTTTCGAGGGGAACTAAAACCACCATCCAACCTGTTTTTAACCACATTTTTTAAAAAATTACCTCATTAAAACTGACACCGAGTTTGCCAATTTTGGAGGAAGATTACAAAATAAGGATTTTTTTCTTCTTCTTTTAAACGGTTTCATTGAAGGGCCCCAAGATTGAAGAGAGACTTAATCCAAGATTTAAATCTTGGATTTACAAGCCGTGAATAGAAACTCCATTGTGAATTAATTAAAAAAAAAAAAAACTCTGCGCATGTTCAGGGAACAGCGGCTTTTCTTGAAACTTCAAAAGCCAGAAATGTGCCAGGAAGGAATACAAGGGTGTGCTTCAAATGGGGTGGGGGGACGAATAGCAGTAGAATCGGTAAGAGAAAGAGTCTGGATTGCTACAGCTTTTTTTCTCCATTTGTGAAGATGTGTGTGTTTTGTGCGTGACTTCCTGTTGTTGGGGCTTGGTTGCCTCTTTTCTTGCACAACTACTTCCTTTCCATCTGTAAGTGAATTCTGGGCTTCTGAAAAGAGACACTTATTTTTAGTCCTCAGCTTACAACCACAATTGAGCCCAAAATGTCTGTTGCTAAGGAAGACATGGCCTCATTTTACCAGGTTTCTGGCCACCATTGTTCGGTGAATCGCTGCAGTTAAATTAGTAACATGGTTCCTTCTTGCTATCTCTTTTCCTTCCTTCCTCCCTTTTTCTTCCTTCCCTCCATTTTTCTTTTATTTATTTATTTCTTCTTTCTACCTCTCCTTCCTTCCTCTCTCCATTTTTTCTTTTGTCTGTTTATTTCTTTTCTTCCTTCATTCCCCTTTTCCTTTCTTCATCCTTTTTTCTTTCCATTCTTTTCTTGCTTCCTTCTTTCTGCCTCTTTTCCATCCTTCCTTCTGTTTTTATCACTTTTCTTCCTTCTTTCTACATGACTTATCTCCTCCTCCTTCTCATTTCCTTTCTTTCTTTTCATACCTTCCATTTTTCTTTTATTTATTCTTCCTTCCTTCTACCTTTCCTTCCTCCCTCCCTTCCTTCCATTTTTCCTTTATTTCTTTTGGCCTTTCTACCTCTCCTTCCTCCCTCCCCCACTCTTCTTTCCTTCCGTTTTTCTTTTAGAATAGAATAGAAAAAATAGAATAGAATAACAGAATTGGAAGGGACCTTGGAGATCTTCTAGTCCAACCCCCTACACCATTTCAGACAAATGGTTATCCGATCTCTCCTTAAAAACTTCCAGTGTTGCAGCACTTACAACTTCTGGAGGCAAGTTGTTCCACTGATAAATTGTTCTTCACTGTCAGGAAATTCCCCCTTATATCTAGGTTGTTTTTCTCCTTGATTAGTTTTCCTCCATTGCTTCTTGTCCTACCTTCAGATGCTTTGGAGAATAGTTTGACTCCTTCTTCTTTTTGGCTGCCCCTGAGATACTGGGACACTGCTATCGTGTTGAGTCCTTTTCATCAAACTGGACATACCCAGTTCCAACAACCGTTCTTCCTACGTTTTAATTTCCAATCCCCTAATCCTCTTTGTTGCTCTTCTCTGCACTCTTTCTAGAGTCTCCAGTTTGTTTGGGTTTTTTTGTACATCGTGGTAACCAAAACTGGATGCAGTACTCCAGGTGTGGTCTTATCAAGGCATTATAAAGAGGTATTAACGCTTCAGGTGATCTTGATTCTATCCCTCCTCTCATGCAGCCTAGAACTGTGTTGGCTTTTTTGGCAGCTGCAGCAGCACAACACGGCTGGCTCCTATTTAAATGGTTGGAGCCCACTAGGGACTCCAAGATCCCTCTCCCAGTTACTACTATCGAGTGAAGTACCACATATACTGTACCTGTGAATTTGCTTTTCATTCCATTTTTTCTTTCTTTTTCTTTCTCCCTCCTGCTTCCTCCCTTCCATTTTTCTTTCTTTCTTTCTTTCTTTCTTTTATCTCTTCTTCCTTTCTCCTTCCATTTTCCTTCCTGTCTTTCTTTTCTTTTGCCTCTCCTTCCTCCTTCCCTCCCTCTTCCTTCCTCCCATTTTCCTTCCTTCCACCTCCCTCTCTTCCTTCCATATTTCCTTTATTACTTCCTTCCTTGCTTGCTCCCTCCCTCTTCCTCCCATCTATTTTTTATTCCTCCCTTTTACCTCTCCTTTCTTCCTCCCTCCTTTCCTCTTCCTTCCATTTTTCCTTTATTTTCTTCCTTCTGCCTCTCCTTCCTCCCTCTTTCTCCCTTCCATTTACCCTCCCTCCCTCTTCCTTCCATTTTTCCCTTATTCCTTCCTATCTCTCCTTCCTTCCTTCCTTCCACTTCTCCTTCCTTCCTTCCTTCCATTCAATCCCTATTCCTTCTCTTCCCTCCCACAAGAAGGCTGCCCAACCTCATATAGACGAATGCAAAGACATTTCCCCCATTTCCTGGCGCGGCTCGCAATTCGTGCAAGAACTCTCTCAAGGGGGCGACGGCCACCCTCCCCTTAGAGGCTCCCCCACCCATCCCCGGGCCACAGCCTCCCAGGGTGTCGTCGAAATCGCGCGCGGAACTCTCGCGGTGTTGACCGCCTCCTCTGCATGTTGCAGCTCTGGCCTCGGCCACCAGGGAGCGCCCGCTACCTCTCCTCTCGTAGCTCTCCAACCCGGCCCCGCGCCCACCCACCCCTTTTGCTCCCCTGCGCCCTTGCAGCGGTGCAAGCGGGGTAGAAGCGAGATTTCGGGTTGCAGTCAGATCGGCGCATTGCAGGCGGAGCTGCGCGGGATCCAGAAGGAGGCTTTGCGCGGGGGGGGGCATGCAAAGAGCGCTGCTCACCGGCCGCTCTGTTTGGAGTCGCTTTGCCAGGATGAGCAGCGTCCCGGCCGGCCGCTCCCTGGCCGAGAAAGTGGCCCTGGTGACGGCCTCCACCGAAGGGTAAGCAAGCCCCCCGCCCCCGCTCCACTTGGGTTGGGGGGGTGGGGAGAGAAACTTTACAAAGTTTGGGAAGACTGCAACTCCCAGAATGCGCCGGGCTCGGGTCGCCTGCGAACCCCCCCTTCTCCTTCTAGGGCATGCTGGGAGTTGTGGTTCTTCCCCCCTCTCCCCCCCAAAAAAAATCTGGAGGAGGCCCCGATGGAAACTTTGCGCATCCAAATGGAAGAGATGGCCAAATTTTGGAAAGAGGAAGGGAAAGCACTTTGCAGTCGCCCAGAGGCACTCTTGCACTCCCGCCAGCCTTGAAACTGTTCTCTTACTAGTCCCCTGCTTCAAATTAAATGTTGGGGTGCACTTGAAGGAGAGATCAGGAGCTGATTCTTGCGGTTCTGCTGAAGAGGTGGCTTTTTGTGACCTCTTTGCTTTTTTTTCTTCCTTCCCTCCCTTCTTCCCCTTCTCTCTCTCCCTCCCGCCGTTCTTCCTTCCCTTCTTTGCCCCTTCCCTCCCTCTCTTTTTTCTTCCATTCTTCCTTCCCTTTTTTGCACCTTCCCTCCTTTCTTCCTCTCTTCCTTCCCTTCTTTGCTCCTTCCCCTTCCTTTCCCCCCTCATTTATTCCTTCCTTCATTTTCTTCCTACCTTCCTTCCTCTATCTTCTTTTTCTTCCTTACTTCCCTCCCTCCCTGTTTCTTTTCCTCCTCCCTTCCTTTCCCAATTGCAATCCCTTCCCTCCCTCCTTTCTGCCCTTCTTTGCCCCTTCCTTCCCTCCTTTCTTCCTCTCTTCCTTCCCTTCGTTGCTCCTTCCCTCCCCCTTCCTTATTTCCTTTCTTCCTTCTTTTCTTCCTTCTTTCCTTCCTTCCTCTATTTTTCCTTTCTTCCTTTGCTCCCTCCCTTCCTCCTTCCTTTATCTTCTCTTCCTTCCTTCCTTTATCTTCTCTTCTCTTCCTTCCTTCCTTCCTTCCTTCCTTCCATCTCACTCACTCACTGTCTCTTGTATTTTTCCTCTTTTCTCTCTCTTATTTTTATCCCACCTTTATTACTTTATAAGTAAGTCAAGGTTCTGTTTGCATTTTCAACCCACTTTGCTCTTTCAAAATAAATATTTTGCCATCCTTTGCAGACTCCCCGAGACCAAACAGGACTTTGGAAATAGGCAAAAGTTCAAACATTGAGAATTAATAGCTGATGTTTTAACTGAGACGTGCAATCTTCTCTGCTTGAACAGGGCTGTAAAATCTAAATTCAGTATGACAGGATTTGTTTTGGAGAAAGCAACCACAGATTATAACCTTAGCTCTGTTACCTATCATAGTATTTTAGTCTTTCTCAATCTTGGCAACTTTTAAGATGGGTCGACTTCAACACACAGAATTTCCTAGCCGGCCATTACTAGCTGTGGAATTCTGGGAGTTGAAGTCCTCTCACCTTAAAGTTGCCAAGATTGAGAAACAATGGAGGCCCTTTTAACATTCATTTTCCCACAATTCCCTCTTGACTGACCTAAAAAGTGTCTCTTCCCCCCACTCTGAACATCCTAGTTGTCCTTCACAAACTCAAGTATTTTAGTCTGAACCATGAAATCTGTCATGTTTTTAGATTTATATGAATAATTTTGCTTTGTGTTCCCTCAGACTTGGGCTAAATAACTAGATCGTTTCGGAAGCCAATCTTGATTCACCTCAGTTACATTTATTTTTGGGTCACCCCATGGAGAAATTTATCTTGCTAGGATTTCTTATCAAGTTCCCACCCACGTAGTGCTATTATTCAATAAAAGAAAAATTTTCTTACTAAATAATTTTATTTCAAAATGCTGAACAAATTTTACCTCAAATCCTTCCCCCCCCATCTATTTATCTATCTATTATCTACCTATATCAACAATCTATATCTCTATTTATCCTCTCTCTTATTCACTCACTCACTGTCCCTTATTTTCTTTTCTCTCTTTTTCTGATTTTTATCCCACCTTTATTACTTTATAAGTAGGTCAAGGTTCTGCTCGCATTTTCAACCCACTTTGCTCTTTTGAAATAAGTATTTTGCCATCCTTTGCAGAGCCCTGCAAACAAGACTTTGGAACAGGCAAAAGTTCAAAAATTGAGAATTAATAGACGAGAAGCGCAGTCTTCTCTGCTTGAATAGGGCTGTAAAATCTAAATTCAGTATGACCGGATTTGCTTTGGAGAAAACATACAGGGATTATAATCTTAGCTCAATTACTTATCATGGTATTTTAGTATTTTCAACCTCAGCAGCTTTAAGAAACTAGACTTCAGTTCCCAGAATTCATTCATTCTTTCTTTCTGTCTTTCTTTCTTTCTTTCTTTCTTTCTTTCTTTCTTTCTTTCTTTCTCCTTTCTTCTCTCTCTTTTCTTTCCTTCTCTTTCTATCTTTTCCTTCCTTCTTTTTCCTCCCTCCCTCCCTCCATTGTTCTTTCTTTTCCTTCCTTCTCTCTCTCTTTCTTTTCCTTCTTTCCTCCCTCCCTTCCACCATTGTCCTTCCATCTTTCCCTTTTACTTCCTTCTCTCTTTTTCTTCCTTCTTTCCTCCCTCCCTTCCTCCATTGTTCTTCCTTCTCTCTTTCTTTCTTTTACTTCCTTCTTCTCTCTTTTTCTTCTTTCCTCCCTCCCACCCTCCTTTGTCCTTTCTCTTTTCCTTCTCTCTTTTTCTTCCTTTCCTCCCTCCCTCCCTCCATTGTCTTTCCTTCCTTCCTTCCTTCCTTCCTATTTGTATCCCACCTTTATTATTTTACAAGTAACTCAAGGTAGCGAGTTTCTTTCCAGTTTCTTCCTAGATCAAGCATGCAGCTACCTGCAGCTTATGAATTCCCACTTCTGTATGATTTTGCAACAACTTGTTTTGTGACCTAATGAAACTGAATAAATGTTCTGTTCACATGATGCTTACATGCTCTGAAAACCAGAGCTGATCTTCAAACCAGATCCGCTCCTTTCTAACCACCCACATATTTTGATAAGTCCTACTTCGAGCTACGATTTTGAAATCCCTTAAAAACACATCATTATTTCACTCTAGTTTTCGACTCTAGTCAGGTGTGGAAGTTGTCGATCCGGCTGATCTGGATTGGAAAAAGGCTATTCTCAGGGATTTAATTTCAGACCTGAGTCACTGAAATGAAGGTATAGATATATCGGATTCAGTTACTTAACAACTGTCATAACTTCAATGATAGTTAAGTGAGGACTCCTTGTATACTGTACAGATAGTCTTCGACCTACAACAGTTCATTTAGGGACTGTTCAAAGTTACAACCCTTATTTTTCACACTTATGACCTTTGCAACATCCCCCGTGGTCAGGGGATCAAAAGTCGGACGCCTAAGTTGAAGCTTAAATAAGAATTGAATGGATAAAATTAAAAGAACAAGGAGAGATTCAGCCTGGAAATAAGGAGAAACTTTCTGACAGTGAGAACCATCAACCGATGGAACAGAAGTTGCCTTCGGAAGTTGTGGGAGCTTCATCCCTGGAGGCTTTCAAGAAGAGACTGGATAGCCATTTGTCAGAAATGGTGTAGGGTCTCCCGCTTGGGCGGGGGGTTGGACTAGATGACCTACAAGGTCCCTTCCAACTCTTGATTATCTGTTATCTGATTCACTTAACAACAGTGACAAGAAAGATTGCAAAAATGAGACAAAACTTACTTCACAGCTGTCTTGCTTTGCAATGGAAATTTTAGGCTCAATTATGGTCATTCGTCAAGGACTATCTGTGCCTGTTTTATCTGTAGAATGGCACCAAGAATTGCACGAAAAGGACTTCTGCTGGATACATCCTATTACAGGTAGTCCTTGACGTACGACCACAATTGCACCCCAAATTCCTGACGCTAAGCGAGACGTTGGTGAAGCAATTTTTACCCCATTTTGCGACTTTTCTTACCGCCATTGTTAAGTGAATCGCTGTAGTTCTCAAATCAGGGACATGGTTGTTAAGCGAATTTGGGCTCCCCCGTTGACTTAGCTGGCCAGAAGGTCGCCAGTAGGTCATCACATGACTCCTGGGACGCTGCGACCATCATAAATAGGAGTTAGTGGCCAAGCGTTTAAATTTGGAACCCGTGACCACAAGGATGGTGCGATGGTTGTAAGTGTGGAAAAACGATCCTAAGTCACTCTTCAGTGCCGTGATAACTTCGAATGGTCACTAAACGAACGGTTGTAAGTTGAGGTCAACCTGTGTCGTGTCTGTGTCTTGGCAGAATCGGCTTAGCCATCGCACGCCGGCTGGCACAAGATGGGGCACACGTACTAGTGAGTAGCCGGAAGCAAGCCAAAGTGGACCAGACAGTGTCCGAATTGCAGGCCGAGAATCTCAGCGTGTCGGGGTTGGTGTGCCACGTGGGAAAGTCAGAAGACAGACAGCATCTAGTGGATGTGGTAAGAACCCTTCTCCTCCGTGGTGTATTCTGACCCATTGCGTCCCTACGGGCAGTCCTCGACTTAACGACCACAGTTCTGTCCCTAAGCGAGAAAGTTCAGTGAATTTCACCCCGTTCTACTACCTCTCTTCCCACCATTGTTAAGCGAGTCTCCATCGTTAAATCAGTCACACGGTTGTTAAGTGAAACCGGCTTCCCCGTCCACTTGGTTCATCAGAAGGTTGCAAATGGGGATCACGTGACCCCAGGACACTGAGACCATCATAAATACAAACCTGTTGCCAAGCAGTGGAATTTGGATCCCAGGGTACTGCAACGGTTGTTAAGTGTGAAAAATGGTCGTAAGTCGCTTTTTTTCAGTGCCTTTGTATGATCACTAAATCCTCATCTTTCAACGGTCCCATAATCCCTTGCAGGGTGTGTCGGGGCAACTAAATGGAGCTAGCAGGGTGTTTTTTACTGGCTAGATCCCTCTTCCTGTCACCAATGGGGAGTTTTTTGTTCAGCAGATATATTCTAATTGCACCTAGAGAGAGAAATATCTGCCTCTACCTAGGATTGAACTCACAGCCTCCTGATTGTGGGGCGAGAGCTCTGCCTCTAGGCCATCACACCACTACCTTTGAGAGGTCATTAAATGAATGGTTGTAAATTGAGAACTCCCCCGGAAGAGAGGAACTATGTTTCCAGCTTTTTAGGTGTGAGATTACAAATTCTCTGCTGAATCAACAAGAAACTCAGTGAACAATTTCAAGAGCTTTATTGACATTTGCAAAGGCCGGCACCTTGTCCTCTTCTGGGTAGAGGCAGAAAGGGCAATGAGACAATTGATTTACAGAGTTTTATACACTTCAAGATCCCCAAAACTCCCCCCTTCCTCACTGCCCCATTGGTCAAAATTAGCGTCGGTTGATTCTAGGATGATTTTTGGGATCACAGTCTGTCCCCAAAGTAACGTGCTTAACAATTAATCATTGACTTAACATTGTTTAACAGTTACTACATCCTGGCATTGTTTGCACTAACTGGTGTCCTTTTCTGGGACTATCAGGACAGCTTATGTCCTGACCTGGGTCAGCGTGACAATTGACCTCACATGGACTATTTTACCAGGGTCTTCTTAGGTTATATAGAAGAGAAATGTGCAGAAAAATAGATAATTCTGCTTTTTTCTTTCAAGGGAATAATTTTCACTTCTCACAATAGGGGAGTGAAAATGGACTCGGCACTCTGTCAGCTATGGAATTTCTTCGACAAGTCAGGATTTCCAAGGGAATCCTTTTGCATCTTCGTTTGTGCTATGTGTGTGTATTTGTGTGTATGTGGTGGAGAAACCAGAGGCTAGGTTGATATATTTCATCAGGCGAGTATCTTGCAATCGAAATTCTCTGACATTGTGGTTTTCGTGGTACAAGACTCAACCTGCCACAGAGGCAGAGAATTGGGAATTATTTTCCCAGTTTGCATTCCCAATTGGGCTAGGATGAGGTAAAAAAAGTTGTTTCTCATTGCCCGCTTTTCCAAAAGGGGAAAAAAAACTTATTTTATCCAATTTTCAGGACTTCTTCACTCTTCCTCGGTGGTTTTAAGACCCTAAAATGGGAATTTTGCTTCTTTTTAAAAGGGGCTGGTTGGTTTCACCATTTTCCTTGGAGTACATACAGGTTGTCTGCAATGTATGACCACAGTGTAGCCCAAAATTTCTGTCGCTGAGCGAGACATTTCTGAAGTGAATTTTATACCCCATTTTATGACTTTTCTTGCTACGGTCGTTAACTGAACCCCAGCAGTTTTTAAGTTAGTGAATCTGACTTTCCCCCTTGAGTTTGCTTGTTGGAAGGTTACAAAAGTAACCCCAGGGCACTGTGACCGTCATAATATGAATCAGTTGCCAAGTGTCTGAATTTTAATCACGTGGCCGAATTTTAATCAACGACTGTTGTAACTTTGAACGGTCACTAAGTGAACTGTCATAAGTGGAAGGCCACCTGTAGGTATTTTGTGTCCCAGGAAACGAATTGGACCGAGTTGCATATAGCTTTCTATCGCATTTGTTTTATTAAACAGTTACAGAAGGAGATTGAATTTGTATTTGGAAGGGTGGTTTTTTTAAAAAAAAAAAACTTTTAAGGTGGGTAGACTTCAACTCCCAGAATTCCCTAGTCAGCCAAGCAAAGCTTCTTAAAGTCGTCAAAATTGAGAAATATTGCATTACAAGCTGGATTAACTTTTTAAACAACAGGTGTTTAATTCTCCGCTCTTTTCCGCAGGCCATGGAGCGCTACGGAGGAATTGATATTTTGGTCTGCAATGCGGCCGTGAACCCATTTTTCGGAAATATGTTGGACGCCTCGGAGGAAGTCTGGGACAAGGTGAGAGCTTGCGGAAGGGGACAGAGGAGAAAAAGATGGGCTTTGTAGTCCAAAGAGTGAACCCTGTGGGGGAAGCTTAGGGTGCCCAGATTGACCCGACCAATCTGGTGGCAAGGCCAAACATGGTTTTGGAAAAACGGTTGGGGATGAAAATATTGCTTTCCCGCTTTATAGCTGGTCCTCACTTAATGGTGGTTCGCATAGTGACCGTTTGAAATTAGGACAGATCCCTCCCCCTCGAACCCAGGACAGTGATTTATTGCAAGTTTCCAGTCTTTTCCGCCACTTTTCCTCCAAACTTGACATTAAAATCAGGTCAGCAAAATTGCGTGGGTGTCTCGTCTTACAGCCGTAAGGATGCGTTACGGTCATAAATCCAGGTGCGCCTGTTATTTGTTTCAGATATTGGATATCAACGTAAAGGCAACAGCATTGCTAATCAACCTGGTGGCTCCTCATATGCAGAAAAGGGGGTGAGTATGTCACTTAATATTTTGGGTTTTTTTCTTCTTAATTTACATACAGGCAGTCCTCGACTTACGACTGTTCATTTAGTGACCGTTACAAGTCACAAGGTCACTGAAAAAAAGTGGCTTATTTTTCACATTTATGACAGTTGCAGCATCCCCAGGGTCACATGATCAAAATTCATCCGCTTGGCCACTGACTCACACTTATGATGGGGTCGCAGAGTCCCAGTGTCACGAGTCAATGGCAAAGCCAGATTCATCTAACAACTGGGTTATGTCACAACAGTGTCGAGTCACTTAACAACGGAGACAAGAAAGGTTGTAAAATGGGGCCTAACTCACTTAACGACAGTCTTGCTTAGCAATGGAAATGTGGGGGTCAATTGCGGTCGTAAGTTGAAGTCTACCTCTACCGTTTTTCAATTTAAAGCAGGGGTAAAATCCCTCAGTATGATGTATATAAGTTTGTCTATATATTCTAAGTTATGTTTGGGCTGAAAACCTTTAGATTATTATTTTTTCCTCCTCTTTCTTTTTTCTTCTTCTTGCCGATTTTCTGATCCGCTTTAACTATGGGTATTTCTTTTTTTTTTCTTTTTTTTCTCCTCACAAGCATTTCAAGCTTCTAGTCCTAATTGTGAATTTCTCCCGCCCTTTGAAATCTGCTCTGTCTTAAGCCTCCTCCTCCTATAAAGAAAAAGAAGTCTTGATTCGAATAAATTCCTGTCTTTGTGAAACAGGGCGGCTCCATTTTCTTCAAGGGAGGTAGAATTTGCACTCGCAGCCTGCTGCATTCATGAGAAACGCCGCAAATTCTCAGTCTTCATGGCCAAATCCCCTATAATCTCAAAAAAAAAAAAAGTAATTTTCTTGCTACAGAACATTATTTCATTTCACATTTCGATTTGTAAATGCTTCTTTCGGTAGATTAGGGAGATAAATCCTAATTTTGGTTGACAACAACCCTGTGAAGTAGGTTGGGAGAGAAATAGTGACTGATTCCAGGGGAATAAAGGAGTACGAGAGGGGAAGGAAAAGGAAATATATATATATATATATATTTGTTTTCTTAAGTTTTTGCGGGTACTTACATGTATGGCATTCAGCTTTGTTCGGGTATTTTCCCACATCATTGTAGTTGTGCTTTTAAAGTTGTAGCGACATTTCAGCATAATCTCATCTGCCATCATCAGGCTTCTGCATAGTGGAATGCAGAATATATACAGAAGCCTGACGATGGCAGATGAGATTCTGCTGAAATGTCGCTACAACTTTAAAAGCACAACTACTATGACGTGGGAAAATACCCGAACGTATATATATATATATACACATTACTCTGAGAAGCACAGAGCTGGAGACAGAAGCCTGAAGATGATGAATGAGACTTCATCGAAACGTTGCCTAGATACTTCGAATCTTACGCGGGAGAAAACCCGAACAACCAAAGATCTACATATATACACATACATACACACACACAGTATATTTCTGCCTCTTTCAATTCCTTGCTTTGTTCCAGAAACGGCTCCATCGTTATCGTGTCATCCGTTGCTGGATATATGCCATTTCCAGTGAGTTAAGCAGATAATTTTCTATTTGTTTTGCTTCTCTCAAGCTGTCTGTAAAGATGGAATAAAAGAATTAGGTGGGGGGTCGGGGGGAAGAGATTTCTTTCTCCTTGAACCTGAATAAAAGCCAGCCTCGTTACACAGCTGCGAAAAAGGCAAACGCAATTGCTGGCTGAATCTAGGAAGTTGGTTTTCCAAATTAGGAGAAATTAATTATTCCCTTTTATTCTGTCCTGGGCCTCCCAGTTTAAGTGGGAGGATTCAGAGAAGTTAGATATAAGGAAAGGTAAATAAATCGAATGAGCACTTTTAATGATAAGAGGATGATAAGAGAGAGAGGGAGAGGAAGAGAGATACAGATAGACAGATATGATGGATGAATAGATATAAATATGATCGTGATATACATAATTACATAGAAAGATACAATAGATAGAGATAGAGATGGATGAATAGATGGATATAAATAGATAATAGTTAAAACGGATACAGATAGATAGATAGATAGATAGATAGATAGATAGATAGATAGATCAGATACATAGATATATATTGATACAGATAGATATAGCAGCCATAATGGATGGATAAATAAGGTAGATTGATATATAGATAAATAGATGGATATGGATGGATGGATAAATTAGATATGGATCGGGTGGGATTCAGCTGGTGTTACTACTAGTTTAATGAGAGTTGCATTTTGCTGCGCGTTTGTGTACAACATTGCAAAAAAGACATCAGCTGTACCGCCAGGACAGCTGACAAGTGCTGCGTGCAGTTGCACAGCATTTCAAACTCCCTTCCTGCTTTTTCAATCTCAGCTGTGCCGCGCAAAGCAGCTGAGGTTGAAAAAGCAGGAAATAAAGAACAGCCACAAGCCCGGGCAGGTGGGTGGGCCAAACACCTGGGTGGGTTCGGTGTCTACTGCTCCTCAGGGCTGCCAGTTCTATAGAACCGGGCCAAACCGGTAGCATCCCCGCCCCTGATATGGATGGATACAATTAGATAAGATAGTTACAATAGATAAATAAGCACAGATAGATAGACAAACAGATATAAACAAAGGAATGGATAGATGATATGGATGGAAATGGATGGATGATAGAGACAGATATAATAGTTGATAGGCGCATGGTTGGATAATTAAGATGATAGATAGATGCAATAGACTAGATGACAGATGGATAGCTAGATAGATGACAGAGAAATAGAAAGAGAGAGAGAGAGAGAGAGAGAGAGAAAGGAAAAACTCCTACAAGGAAAGATGCAAGGAGCAGGGCCTGTTTAACGTTGAGACCAGCCTGAGGGAATCGGGGAGGTCTAAAAAAAGGTTGCCTCTTAAAGGTACCCCTGATTCCGCTTCCTTCACCTCTTCTCTCCTAGAACATTGGGCCTTACAACGTCAGCAAGACAGCCCTCTTGGGCTTGACACGCAACCTGGCCATCGAACTGGCCCCTCACATCCGTGTCAACTGTGTGGCGCCTGGTCTGATCCGCACAAAATTTAGCGCGCCTGTGAGTATTTTTAAGGCTGGAAAGAGATTTTAGAGCAGTGGAGTGTTTCCCCCCACTCCATCTTTGACTACTTTGAGATGGGTGGACTTCAACTCCCAGAATTCCTCAAGCCTCTGGCTGCGGAATTCTGGGAGTTGAAGTCCAGCCGGTCTTAAAAACAGGTGAGGTTGGGAAACACGGATTTTGGGAGTCGAGAATGGCAACAGCCCAACACAGGAGGAAAAAAAAAAAATCAGAACCAAGCTTTTAAAAAATTGTGTTAATTTGACAACTGGCGAGTTGTTCTCTAGCCTCCCCATCGCTTGCTTGTACAGATGAGCCTCAATTTACAACCACAATTGAATCCCAATGTTTTTGTCCCTAAGCGAAACACTTGTTTAATCAATTTCGCTCCACGTCACGAGCTCTCCTGCCACGGTTTGCTCCATTTTACGACCTTTCCCGCAGTTGTTAAATGAGTGAAGTCACTTAATCGGTTGTTCAGTGACTCTGTTTCCCCCCATTTGCTTGTCAGATGGTTGTGAAAAGGGGTCATGTGACCCTGGGACATGCCGATCGCCATAAATATGAGTCAGTTGCAGAACTTTGAACAGTCACTACTCCTATTTCCCCTAAAATAAGACCCTGTCTTATACAGTATTATTGTTGCCACAAAAAAGGTACCAGGTCTTATTTGTGGGGGATGTCATCCACTGACTAACCTCACTTGCATCTATCATACCCGCCCTCCTTTTCGCTGTTATCAGAGGCTTTCAGGAACTTCTTCTGCAGCCAGCAAGGCTTTTTTGAAGGCCTCTGCAGCCAAGAACAGCTGATAGTTGTTATCAGCTCCAGAGGCCTTCAGAAAAGCCTTGCCGGCTGCAGGAGAAATGGGCTGGCAAGGCAGGTGTCGGGGTGTGCGAGGCCAGGCTACAACTGTCCAAAGGTAAACAGTAGGGTCGCTCCATTCCCCCCTCAATCCTCTCCCGGCTTAATTTTTACCCGTCCACCCTGGTGTGGGTGGGATCTTAATTAGGGCTTATCAAGCTAGGACTTACTTTCAGGGTAGGTCGTATTTTCAGGTAAACGGGATAAATGAATGGTTGTAAGTTGAGGACGACCTGTAATTCCAAACAGTGGGACTCGCTGCACCCCAAAATTAAAAGGACGCCATTGAATCATCTCACAGCTGTTCCTTCTCTCTAGTTTTGGCAGGACGAAAACATGGAAAACAGAGCACTGGAAGTAATGCGGATATGGAGGTAAAAAACTTGGGATAAATCAAGAGTTTTGCATTAAAACAAAGGCTCCGGGATCTGATTCTATAAACTTCCAACAAACTTTAGCCGTTCTTTTTTTTTTTTTTTTTTTTTTGAAGTGTTGCAAAACCTTAAAACTGACAACTCTCACCCATTTTGGCACAGGGAAAACTCCACAGCTAGCCATTTATTTTTATATTTATTTTATTTTACTTCTTTTAGACATCTATAATTATATCATTCAATTTAATTTGCATTTATAATTAAATTATAAATTAATTTTCTATTTGATAATTATATTTTAAATAAATTATAATTATTAAATTTCTAATATTTATATTTTGAATGCCATTAGAATTTTTGTAATGGTACTGATATTTATAATTGAATTGCAGTTTAATTTAGCCGATATAATTATGTTGATATTTCTAAGTACATTACAGTTTCATTTAACTTAAATTTATAATAGTGATGCTTATAACTAACATTATAATTTCATTTATCTCACGTTTATAATTATATTCATATTGATAACTGCATTACAATTTAACATTTGTAATTATAATTATAATTTATTATCTTCATATTTAGGATGACATAATTTAATTTAACTTATATTTCTAATTATCCTGATACTTATAATTAATATATAAGTATATTTAATATATATACACACACAATATACAT